AGTTAAGATGACCACAAGATGGCAGCAAAGGCATACAAGAAAACCTAACACTTTGCTGCTATCTACTGGTCATTCAAAGCTTTGCAGGCCAGATATGGTGACTTACAAACTACAGTGGCAGATTCACATATCATACTAAGCCAACTAAGCTCTAAGGCTTTGTGCCTTAAATCAGGGGGTCAAGAAGAGCCACACTACTGTGTGGTGGCTGCATTCCAAGATTTCAGATAGGGTTATTTTCTTTTCCTAGCACAGGTGGAGCTGGGCCTTTTAATGCTGCTCTGAGCTACTTCAAGGTAGAAAGTATAGAGGTAGTCCTTGACTTAGAACTATTCATTTAGCGACTATTCAAAGTTACAACAGTGCTAAAGTGACTTACGATTGGTTCGTGCACTTATGACCATTGCAGTGTCCCTGTGATCAAAATTCAGGTGCTTGGCAACTGGCATGTATTTACAATTGCGGTGTCCTGGGGTCACATGATCGCCATTTGCAACCTTCCCAGGCAACTTCCAATAAGCAAAATCAGTGGGGAACCACATGATTCACTTAACCACCATGTGATTCATTTAATGATCACGATTCACTTAACCATGTGATTCATTTAAAACCACCACAAAAATGTTGTAAAATTGGGTGCAGTCATGTGATGCCTCACTATGACCATACCGCTTAACAACATATTTTCCGGTCCCTATTGTTGTAAGTCGAGGACTACCTGTACTTCAGATACCACCTTTGAGAGAGGAAAATAAACTTTATCATGGCAAGAGAAAAACATATGAAATATCTTTGACAATTACAACTACAAATCCTGCCAGAAATGCACACTCATGGACCTAGTTCAAATCTTTTTTTTCAGAGTGAAAGTCTGTGAAAAAGGAAGACTCTCTTACCAGGCTTCTGCAAAGCTTGTAAAGAAAGCTTCTCTTTGATGAAGGTCCATGGAAAGAACTCTTTGGAAGCTGTTTCATGAAGCAATGCCCCATCCAGGATAGACGTGTGTGTGTGTGTGTGTGTTGTATATAAAGATGGTGACGATGACATTGTATTGCCTTGTTTTATGAAAGCTTGTTTCTATGAAAAATGGTTTAAAATCATTTCTGTACTCTATCCTTGGTCCTTGGAGAGAAAAACCAGTATAAGCATATATCATCATCATCATCATCATCATCATCATCATCATCATCATCATCATCTTGCCACTATACCCACTGTCAGTTGACCCTTGACCAGATATGGCAGCCATTAGATCTAGATTTCTGGTTACTCTGACTCCCTCTTGTTTTATAGGGACCAACAAACTGGGCATATTCCTTCCTTCCCTAAATTATATTGCTGAAATGAATGTTAGTCTTGGAACTGTGAGTTCCATTCATGTAACCAGTTCTTATGCTCAGCATGCTGTGATTCCACCTTTTCTTGAAACCGAGTATTCTTGCTGTCCAAGGGGAAGGAGTGAAAAGAGAGGGAGCCCCCTCCTTCCTAAAGTTTGACCAATCCTAGGAAAAGGGTAACCAGAACTTCAGAGGTTGAAGCAATCTGCCTTCCATTAAGGAACTGATGCAGCCAGCCTTAAGCATGTCATTTATGCACCATGAACATTCTACTGGATTCCTACATTGCACTAAGCCAGATGTATTTTAACTGTGGTCTGTTGAATAAACCACAATTGGCTAATTCCCCATATATTGTAAAGTCCAAGCCAAACAACTTTATGGCATAGCAGTGTGTTTATCAGTACTCTGGCCCAAGGTTAAACCACCCTGAGCCAGCAATAAACATCTGCACACATTAGTCTGGGCATGCTGAATTCAATGGATGGATGGAAAGCCAGAGATGGAACTGAACCTCTTTCTCTGAAGCATCATCCCCGCCAAACAGTGACTATGATCAGGGCTGTGATCTTCCAACAACTCTATCCTTTACTTAGCTGGAGGCATCTCTCATGCAGAGCCCTTTTCCCCTAACCTTCTAGCATTTTATTGCATCTCATTCTTGTTCTTTGCAAAAGAGTGTCAACAAAATATTTGGTTTGAATACTCCACATTAAGAATACTCCACATTAAGCAACACAGTTTAGGATTTATTGGTTTTTGCTTGTTTGTTTCCATATCTATATTTACACATCAGTTATTTATAACACCTGAAGGTTTCTGCATAGTAAGATGAACATTTCTTGGTGGTGATCTTATGAAATCATTACATTGCAGGAGGCATTTTTCAGTCACAGTACATGCAAAGTGTCCAGCCCATAAGCATTTCTCTCACCAGAGCTTAACACTCTTGTGATTTGAGCAGCAACGGTTGTAAATTTGTTTGGGTGCCAAAGCATTTCAATAAGCAATTAAAATAATAATAATAATAATAATAATAATAATAAAAAATAATAATAATAATAATAAAATTCTTCAAGCTTTAAAACCATAGAATCTTAATTTTGTCCTGTTTGAAATATATTTCAAATTGAGATGAGTTGAAGTAGAAATGAGATGACAAGATCAAATGAGCAAGTCCTGATGGAGTTGTTTAATTTACACAAATGGCATTATTCCTTTGGGAATATGTGAGATTGAGTAGAGAATCCTACCATTCCTAGAGCTTTGGGAACATAGGATTGATAACAGCAACTCCATAAACTGAAGGAGTGCTAGTGGAGGAAAAGCTGAAATCTGATGGAGGCCCCCAGGTATGGAAAGAGAAGTGGAATTGTCGTCAGTTCCCCTTTTCCCTTGAATGTCTGCTCTTCCCTATTGGGCAAAGTTCCCATAATATTCCATGCAGATTTTTCAAGCGCTGCTAAAGGTAGCTGAGGGAAAGAGAAATCAGAATTTTCCCTCAGTTCCATGAGCTATGAATATCCACAACTGGAACTCTGTTCCTGGATCCCTTGATCCAAGCTATGAGCTTACATTGTGGATGGACAACTAATAAGCACGTGATTGTATTCCAGTTCCATCAGCCCCAGTTAGCCAGGCAAAACGACAGAAATGATGTGAATGGGAGTCTAGCAAACGTGGGAATGGAAGGTTCCATATGCTCATTTGTTATTGTCATAATTCCCTTCACCATTGAGGTAAATAAATTTTCAGAGCAAAACATACATTTCCATTCTTATCTCCTCTCTCACCACATGAATGGAAAGGATGCTTGGCATATGTAAGGAACATTGTCTGTTGGGTCAGTTCTCCAGAGAAGACGAAGTTTCCCTGTTCTAAGCATTGAGAAATGGCTGTTCTTCCATCCCCTCCCCCCCCCCCCCCCCCCCCCCCCCCCCC